TGTTACTTGCCCGAGATTCGATCGTCAGTATCATCATACCTAGTTCAATCTTGTTACCGGCAAGTCTCTTTACTCGTTCTGTAATGCATCATCCCGCAACTAACTCATTAGTCGCATTGCTTGCAAGGCTTATAGTGATGTGCATTACCGAGAGGGCCCAGAGATACCTCTCCGATACACGGAGTGACAAATCCTAATCTCTATCTATGCCAACCCAACAAACACCTTCGGAGACACCTGTAGAGCATCTTTATAATCACCCAGTTACGTTGTGATGTTTGATAGCACACAAGGTGTTCCTCCGGTATTCGGAAGTTGTATAATCTCATAGTCAGAGGAACATGTATAAGTCATGAAGAAAGCAATAGCAATAAAACTCAACGATCATAATGCTAAGCTAACAGATGGGTCTTGTCCATCACATCATTCTCAAATGATGTGATCTCATTCATCAAATGACAACACATGTCTATGGCTAGGAAACTTAACCATCTTTGATTAACGAGCTAGTCTAGTAGAGGCATACTAGGGACACTCTATTTGTCTATGTATTCACACATGTACTAAGTTTCCGGTTAATACAATTCTAGCATGAATAATAAACATTTATCATGATATAAGGAAATATATAATAACTTTATTATTGCCTCTAGGGCATATTTCCTTCAGCCCCGGTATCTTGAGCTTCAAGTAAGCGTAGTGCAACACCATGTTGAAGCGGGCAAACGCAATATGACCGAGAAACGCATGGTAACCACTACTGAAGGGGACTATATCAAAGATTAAGTCCTTCCTTCGGAAGTTATCCGGCGAGCCGAAAACAACTTCTAGTGTTATGGTGCCAGTGCACTAGGCTTCCATGTCGGGTATGACACCCTTTAGTGTGGTGTTACCGGGCTTGATTTGTGACAAATCGACACCTATTTTTACTGATCGTTATTGGCGTAGATCGGGTTCAGACTGCTTCCACCGTCCATAGGGACGCGGGTTAAGTGGAATCCATCAACAATGGGGTCTAGGACCAGGGCAGCCAACCTGCCATGACGGATACTGGTCGGGTGGTCCTTTTTTTTATCAAAAGTGATCGATCAAGCCGACCGTAGGTTGTATTTCGGGGCTACAGGCTCTAAGGCATAGACGTACCGAAGTGCATGTTTTCGCTCCTTCTTAGGAATGTGAGTGACATAGATCATGTTCACGTCCTTGACATCAGAAGGACACTGCTTTTGGCCACCATTACTCGGCCTGTGAGGTTCATCCTCCCCGTCGCTTCAAGACTGGCCCTTGTCCGGCTCCTCGGCTACTACTTTGCCGACCTGTTTGACACCCAACAGTTTCGATTGGTGTGGTTGGCGGGCTTATCCGAGGTGCCATGAATCTGGCAAGGCCTGTCAAGTAGTTTGTCCAGAGCGCTTGAGCCATCCTTTGCTCCCTGTAAAGGGCCTCTTCTTGGGTCCGGCCCGTAAGCCACTAAACCCTGCATTGACTGCTGGGTCCTCGGGATCGCTGCCGCTGTTCTTATTCCGGCACCTATTTTCTGTTACGCCTCGATTTGCCGTTACCGTCGCGTGCTTTCGAGGTGCCGGAGTCGCTCCTGTGAGAGCTACGGGCCAGCCAACTATCCTCGCCCACACAAAAGTGGGTCGCTAGAGAGGTGAGAGCGGCCATGGTTCTTGGCTTATCCTGCCCAAGCTGTCTGGTGAGCCATTCATCCCAAATGCTATTCTTGAATGTCGCAATTGCCTCGGCGTCGGGGCAAATCGACAATATGGTTCTTTTTAGTTAAGAACTGGTTCTAGAATTTCCGAGCTGATTCACCCTCTTGTTGGATGATGGGGCTAAGGTCATCAAATCCAAGGGTCAAACATAGGTGCCCTAGAAGTTTTCCCTAAAGGCCTCCTCGAGCTCCTCCCAGCTTCCAATAGAATATCTAGGGAGGATGTGGAGCCAATGCCTTGCCGATCCTTTGAGCTTGAGCGGCAGGTGTTTTTGGTATGGAGGTCATCACCACGGGCCATGTGAATATAGAGAAGAAAATATTCGATCCAAGCAGCCGGGTCAGTCCATCGTATTGATCGATATTGATGGGTTTAAATCCCTCTGGGAACTGATGCTCCATGACCTCGTCTATGAATGGATGTGCGGGCCCTCAATATCGAGCCACATCTTGTCAGGCGTTAGCCGTCATCCTAGATTGTGTTTGCTCCTGAGCTCTTTAATGTTTGTCTAATCAGGCATCATAGCCTTCCAGGCCGGCGGGCGCGCGCTCCCTTGGTCCGTAAATGGACTGAGGAGCTTTATTAGCCTGTATCTTATCTCGGGATGTTCGACCGCACTCTTGCCATGATGGCAGTTTTGGTAGGTGGTTCTTTATGTGCCCCTGCTGACCGGTCTCACCCTCTAGGGGGACGGTCAGCCTGACCTGCATGGCCGTATGTGAGCAACTCATTACCTACTGCCTCATCGTCAAAGTTAGGCAGCAGCCGCCGACGTGGGAGTGACTTGGCTGCCGCACATCGAGCTTCGAGCTCTGCCTCAGCTGCGAGGATTTTTGTCCATTTTTCATTGAGAGCGTTTTCATGAGTGTACAACTCTTGCTACTTCTTTTCATGCCGCACATAGTTGTCATTAGCTGCCATTGGAACCGTGCCTGCTCGGATGGGTTTGTGGGCACCACAAAGTCTTTGGGTCTGAGGCTGACCTCGTCTTCGGACTTGGGAAGGTAATCCCTTCCCTACCTGTCGTTGAAGGTGCCCATGTCCTCGGGATCATCCTCCACAGGTGTCCCTATGGGCCCATTTTGTTGGGCGGGCGAGGCTTAATCGTCTTCGCCCAGGTTCTCAGCAGCGTCGGGGGCATCACCGTTATCAGCGACGCTCGTGGTGTTTCTCGTACTTCTACTTCCATTGTTTCCCTTCGTTCCCTCTTAGGGCGACGATGCTTAGGGTTTTCCTCAGGTTTCTCCTTGGAATTATCCTTAGGAGTATCGACCATGTAAATATCATAGGTAGACGTTGCGGCCAATTCCCCGTATGAGATATGGTCGCGGGTGGGTTTGCTCGGGTGTCGCCAGACGTCTTCCTCCATGTCAGTGGCTTTGTTAGAGCCGTAGTCTAGTGTATCGGTCAGGTCTTCGATCGTGGTGACTAGGTGGGTGGTGGGCAAGATGAAAATTTTGTTCTCATTAGCTTTACATCCGATCTAATCATGAACGGCGGACGAGATCGCCAGGTTTTGGTTCCGATCCAATACCTTGTTTATCTACGAGAATTCCTCGGTATCCAGGACCTAGCTGTAAGCCGGGCTAATATGAAACAGTTTGTTCGGGCCGCTTGACGCGGGCCCGTCATCTCGATCACTTAGGGCTGACCCTTGGTCGACGGGCGGAGAAGTTGGACTAGAGGCCGCTGCCGGGTCCGAGGATGGGTTCGGCTCAGGGCCGTCATCCGAGGAGGCAGGGGTTAGATCGGAAGTGGTGACCACCGGATCTATCTCCGTGGTTGGTTCCATCGGGAGGTCGGATTCAAGGATCGGGTCAGAAATATGTTCCGGAGTTCCTGCGCCAGAGGGATCTTTGAGTCGATCTGATATCCGTCCCGAGAGGACTAGATCACCTCGGGCGTCCATGATGTACTCCAAGCTTCCGAACATGACGACCTAGTTTGGGTGAAGTTCTCAACATGGCCTAAGCGGCTGGCCGGATCAGCGTGCATCATGATGCCGCCAAAGGCGAAAGCTGGCCGAGGACGAAGATGTCACCGCAACCAATACTACTAATAATCTGCAAGCGAGCCATCAATCCTTAGCGATCCAACATCGAGCTCTCAATGAAAGCACCAATCTCGGTGTCAAAACTGGCAGACTTCGGGTAGGGGGGCTTGAGCTGTGAGATCGGATCGATGGATAACAGGAGACAAGGGATACAATGTTTTACCCAGGTTCGGGCCCTCTCGAGGAGGTAAAACCCTACGTCCTGCTCATCTTTATATTATGGATGTATCAAAGTATAGAGTTGATCCACCTCGAGATCGTAAGTTGTGGACTAAACCCTAAGGGTAATGATGGTGATGATCCATGTGTCTCTACGGACTAAACCCTTCGGTTTATATAGGCATCAGGGATAGTTAGGGTTACATATGGCCAGTTGTCATCTAGGGGCTACATGTCGATCCTAATAGATATACTTGGAGTACACGCCAAGTCCTCGGTGAAGTCGGATATGCTTGTGCCACAGGTTAGAGGCCTTCGGAGTCCTTCCTCATCAACGTGTTGTTAGTCCGGCCCATGGACTAGACCGGCTAGGCCAGGTCCCCCTAGTCCAGGACACTTTCAGCGAGAAAAAAAAGGAGAAAGAGCCATGATTTTGATGCAGCCAAGGCCTGACTGAGCGGTACTTTGAAGTTTATATAGGCCAAGATTTTGATGCAATTACATTTTTTTAAGGGGTCTAACGATTCTTTATTCAAACAAGTTCAACGGAATCATTTCAATATCATGTAGTTGAAGAAACCACGGTCTACCTCCATCTAGAGATAAAGAAAATTTAGCAATGCTATCAGCCTCATAATTTCTAAACCTCGTAATTTAACATACCGAAATTACATTCCAGAGCATAGCTGTCCATCGGGGCCGTGCCATCCAGGACAGCCCGCCATGGGCCAGACACGCCATGGGCTAAACAGGCCGTGCTAGGGCCTGTAGGCTGGGCACGCGGGCCGGCACGCCACGGCCTGTTTACCAATCGGGCCTCGGCGGGCCGTGCCTCACACGATTAGCATGGGCCGGGTTGTGCCGGCCCGTTTGGCCAGTTCTGTTCGAGAGGCTGGATAGGGACGCACGGAACCAATCATGCCATAGGTCTCCTCTTCCGCTTGCACTCCCAATCGACCAAATATACATGAGCAAAGAGAAGGAAAGGTCCCGGTCGAATCCATCGATTACTACCGCCCAGACTCTTCCTTCATGTTGAGTGCCTGTGTCCAAACCACGCCGCGCTGACCATGTCGGATCTGCGGCACGGAGAGCCGCTGGCGAAGCAAAGGAACATCGACCCCATCGCCCGGACTGACCATCCGTGGGATCTCCCTGCAACAGTCCCCCTCCCCCACCGCTGCGACTGCCCAGGTGCAAACCTTATCTCCTTATCCTTGCTTTCTCATAGGGATTCTCTTACCTGGCCTGCTTAATGTTGGAGGTTATTAATAATGTTATAAAATCAGAAGACAGCGTTTTGGTGATTCCCCGGGAGGCAAACCTCCCGATTGACAGAGAAGCAAAGAAGGTCGTGGCACGGGTGTCACAAGCAGTAGTCGGCGTCGCCAGCATTACCGGTTAGGCTGCTCTTTCTTCTCGTACGGACGCGTTCTGCTTGTGTATGCCATATCAATTACTCGTACTGTATTGTAAGAAGCCGAACCAATAATAACTTATGTTGAACCATAATGTTCTCTGACATAACTTCATGTGGACACTATTCTAGAAACAGCAGACTTACATTTAAGTTTTCACAAAGAGTTCACCTTTTTTTTTTGTTTACTTTAAGTTTCCCCAAAGTTGGACCAGAAAAGCTTGCAACTTCTTTTTTCACAAAGTTGTGCTAGAAAAGGTTGCAAAACAAAAAAGTTGCAACCTTTTCTTGTCCAACTTTGTGAAAACTTAAATGTAAGTTTAGTACAGGTTTGTTAACTACTAGGTGCTGTTTCGCATAAACAACTTTAGAATGTACTATCACAGTTGATCCAGTGGTATTCTATTGTGTGCTCAAGCTTCTTTCTTCTACTCCCTTTGTAAAGAAATATAAGAGCGTTTAGATCACTAATATTTTTAACTGCAATATTTTAAAATTTTCTCCTTATTAGAAGAACATTTTCATATTCTTGTTGCTGCCTTATCATTATGCTTATTCATCCATTTTTATGAGAGCCCCTGGTTTACATTTTGCTGTAAATGACTGGTTTCACATTGAAGGAAAACCTGTCAAAACATAGTTCTTTTGCATTTTTTTCTTAAATTATTTGCCATCTTATGCATCGCTATTTTTTAGTTTATGGCGATCAGCTGTGGAGAGCTTCAGGCTTTATTGTCGAATTTGATGAATCCAGCATGATTGGGACAATATTTTCATGTGCAACTGTATCTGAACACATTCCGATGTTCCCTAAAATTGACAAGGTAATGCTCTTATCGAGTACAGGTCTCTTTTTGGGGTTGGGGAAGGGGGGTGTGTTGCTAATTTATATGATGCTTGTTGTAGATAAGAGTATATCTATTTGATGGTACCTCTTATGACGCCACCATAGAAGCTTGCGACAATCACTGGAATTTGTTAGTATTGTCTGTTTCATTTGGTCGTGCTGTCAAAACCATGAACATGGTGGAAATTAGCGAGAACAGAAATGCGATGGATGTTCATCTTCAAGGATTTGTGCTACAGCCTCACTCAGCTTCTGAAAGGCTTTGTCCTGGCGATACCATTATCGGACTTGGTCGACAGTCTACAGAGCCTTTTGGGCTTCAAGCGAATTGTGGAGTTTACAGGTAAATGTCTTCTTTTTACTGCATACAGTAGTTAATACCTTGTTTATGTGAAATCCAGCTTTCAGTAAATTGTTACAAGTAAACAAAAATGGTGATTAGTCCAGTGGACACAAAAGAAGGGCACACATTTGCCTAAAAAGCCTTCACAGCTAAATTTGATTTACGAGGAGCTTTCGACAGAAAATCAAAGACATCTAGGTTACTCCCACTTGCTCTC